TATGTCAATGTACCCATTTCCTAAACAGGTTCATATTGTGGTGGTCAGGAGGCGCTCCACAATTTCATTAGACATCTCTCTCTATCTGATAACGACTTCAATATAGCTGACGCTGACAGCATGCATATCCCACCTGATTGAATTCCAAGTTGGGCAGTCTATTCCAGAGGACGTTATAGAGTCGAATGAATCTGACACCCAGGATAGCGAAGGTGCAGTGGAGATGGCTGCTTCGAGAGAGCGTATCACAGATGTTATATGTGGTTGCTGATTGACCACATCTTTATTTTTCATACTTTATGTACTCTTATTACTTCGTTAGTTCCATTGTACCTTTCAATTTTATGATTAATATGCTTTGTTTAGGGTTATTATATATATATATATATATATATATATATATATATATTTGTGGGTGTGAGTTCAATGATGAAACATATGACCTTATGATACTTCTGGATGGCCAATTCGTAGTTGTTTTAGTGGTACATGTGAAGTCCTGATAAAGGCAGTCGGGGTCGGGTTCCTCTCTTTTTTTTTTTTTTTTTTGTGTTTTGGCTTATGAGGATACACCAAGATGGTCTTTTTTGGTAATATGCATATGTGTCACAGTTCGTGAGTTACCCGTTGGTGTTGCAGGTGAAATCCTAATGAAGGCAACCGAGGTCCTTTCTTCTCAATTGTGCATCGATATATAAGGATCTTCTGGATGCCCTTCTTTGTCATATGCACATGTGGCACTGGACAGTGGTCCCACGTGGGTTAAATGCAACCAAGAAGTCAATTTTTTAGAAGGTATGTTGTCTGCATGTTGTGAAAAACTCGTTGGTTGGTCAGTTACTTCTCTAAGGCATCACACCTGCTATTTTTTTTTTATGTCTAGTGCATTTTTGTTTAAAATTTTTTTGGATTTTAAAATTTCCGGTGATTGTTTTTTCTTAATTTTTTTTGTTTTTTTTTTTAGGCTTGTTTTTTTCGTACTCCCGCATGTTATTTTTCTTTTGATCATATTTTTCGTTTTTTATGCAATATTGTTTCTTATTTTCAATATCAGCAATTTTTTTTTAATTTTATCTAATTTTATGGTTGAAATGTTCTCTCTTTAATAATTGTATTCAAATGAGCTGCAGATATTCGGGGAAGCCCGGGCGAGTGATATGACGTTGCGGACTGTCGTCCTTATTACTCACCTCACGACAGTAACATAGCTACGGACAGCAGTTCTAAAGGTGCCCGCGATGGGCAAACGGACCAGACGACTGTAAGTTCTTCAGTTGGGCAGACAATTCGGCCGACTCTACGGTATCTCAAACGGAAAATGTTGGTCGGGGTTCAACAGTATCCTAACCAGAGAACTTCGCTCAGGGTTCGACGACATCCCAACTGTACAATGTTGTTCAAGGTTCGACGATGTCCCAACAGGACGTCCCTCGTGAAATGCATCTACATTTTAAAATGAATATTGTCATTATTTTGCTTGTACTCTTAACATGTTATTTCTACTTTTTTTTTATTTCCTATTAATCATTATTAACTGAGGTGTATATCCTCTTTTGTACTGTTATAAAGGGGTTTTATTGGTTTTGAAATATCTAATGTGTATCCAGCGAAGTTTTGTTATAAACAACACAACTGTTGCGTGTCACATTGGTCATTTATCTTGAAAAAGCTGCAAATCAGTTATTTTTCTTACGCACAAATCAAACATCTTATCCGGAACAGGGGCAGAATGAGCATTTATCCTGAATTAGTTATTTTCCAAACGAACAAACCAAACAGTCAGCCAGCTTATCTGGATAAGTTGTTGATCAGCATATAATCAGAATAAGTTGTTTATCTGGATAAGCTGGAGAAGTTACAGCTGCCTCAAACAGACCCTTAATAATGATAAGCTCCTAGTGTGACGACCCGGAACAAGAACTTAAAATTAACTTAACGCGAGAACTAATGATTGAACGATGGAAACATTTTCTAAACATTCACATTAATCAACAATAACATTTAATATAGAAAAGAGTCGCTAATCTAGTTCCCATATAAACAAAACCTCTAACAGAGTCATAAGATCATCCAATCTATAGCAGTACACAAGTAAAAACAATAAAGAAGAAAATATAACACTAAAGAAACAACTACCTATCATCCACAGTGTAAACCTATCCTCTACCATCAGCCATATTAATCTTTCAAATCCATTCCTGAAAAATGACACAAACATGTTAAATTTAAGCAACTTATTACTACTCTATCATGCATTAAATCCTTATGCATTAAATGCTTACGCAATTGCCTAGCATGATGATTCAAACGAATATGTTGATCAAAATTAAAATAATCTTTACATTTTTTATTTTATAAAATTATTTATTAAATACGTAAATCAATTCTATTTTAATTCTTTTTTTATCATTTACATTTTTCCTTCGAATATTTTTTTCTTTTTTTTTAAGGAGGCCATCTCAGAAGCACCGTCAAGAACTTTACCATTTTATACTATGAAGGCACACATTTATTATTCGTATGAAAAAGATACACCATTATCATTTCATTTATTATTTAACGAGCACAAGTACAATAATCCCCTGATAATTTTGTAGGGGGTGAATCCTGATAAACTTAAGCTTTTATCTTTCATTTAAATTATATTTAATTTCTTCCAATCATTAAAAGTATTTATCTTTATGTGCATTGCAAAAGATGAAGCAACATAAATAATAAAGCATTTGGTTCATTCTCCGGTTAATTTCTTTCAATTATAAAATCTCTTTAGTGAGTCCAAATAAATGAAACATATATAAAGAAAAAAAAATAAATTTAAGACACATAAAACATAAATTACTCACTTTGATTTCACCATATAAAGCGATCCTTCAACTTTTGCAATCCTAATTGGATTCCTGAAATTGATTTATTAGGATAGTATTTAATAATTATGTATTCAACTAAGTTTAAACATTACCTTAGCTTAAATGGGGGAATTCTCACCTGAAAATTCACAACTGATTGATATGACAAACTCTCCTTGATTTTAATCCAAAATTCTTCTACTACCGCTTTCTAATCTTAAGCAGCAATAAAACATGTTTTAATGCCTAATAGTTTATAATTTAGTTGACAAAATAAAATATTAAATAAACACTAACATTGCTAATGTCTCATTTTCTTCCTCTTCCCTCAATATGAAATGTTCTTTTGCCTTCCTAAAGCCTTCATTTCACCTTTGGTCTTGCCACTTAACTGCATAAGTTTTATCTGCACATGCACATGACCCGCTTCCCTTCTAATTTGTTTGGTTCGCTCATGCTTTTGCTCTTCTCTTCCTTGAGCTGCTACAACCTACGACCCTCCGTCGGCTTCAGCACAAAGAGCAACTCCCTCCCTTATTCCTTTGCACAAAGCCTTGCCTCCTTCTTTTTCTTCTTCCTTCGCATAGGAGCCACTTGACTCCTCTTCTCCTCCTCATGTGACTGGCTAAATTGTGAGACTTCGTCTATTTCTCTGTTCAAACCTGCAAGATAGAGCTGGAAAATATCTCGCCTTTCTTCCTCCTCCTCCTCTGCGGCTCCCGTTCTTCTTCCATCTGCTCTGCGGCTCTCGTTCTTCTTCCTTCTGCTCCGCGGCATCGTCTCCTTCTTCTATATACCACAATTTAGGGCTTTGTTGGGACCAACTCTTTGCTTCACGCACGAAGCCGCTCGCCTCGCCTTCTCTTTCTCTTCTTCTTCTTTCTTCTTCACTATTGTTTCTTCCTTCCTCTCAATCTCCTTCTCTCGCTCTCTCGGTCTATTAAAAACAAAGAGATCCTTTCTTCAACTCCTAAAGGCGAAACGAGACTATCATGATGACTCAATGAATCATTTCCGCCAATTCAAAATATATTTATTTATTGTTATTTTTATTACTTTTTTTATTTTTTAGCAGCTATTACACCTAGTCAAGCTCCTTCACAAATAGTGGCTGTTCTGAGATAGGGGTGTAAATAATCCAAGCTAGCTCAAACTGAACTAAACTCTGCTAACAAGCAGGCTCCACACGACTTCGTCTGACAGCACTTAAACAGGCTGCCATCACGAATTCCTCTCGAGTTGAGCTCTCCGACCAAGCAATAACAGGACAAGCTGAGCTTGTGCTCTTTCTATAGGCTCAATTTGAGCTCAATCTCGAGTTTGAGCTGCTTCTTGGGCAGTCGAGCCAAGCTTGAGTTAACAATAACTTGAACGCAACTCAACTCCTTTACACCCATAATTTGAGATTCTCCATTTCATTCAGACACATCAGAGGTTTATACCACTACAATGCTTTAGTATCTGCTGCTTCAACTTAACTACTTGCAGTTCATGTATTGTTCTCATAAAAGCTGAGAAATCGAGACAGCCAACATCCATTACCGAAGCGGATCATAGATAGTAGATACACATTGACATTAAAGCCTTAAGGAAGCATTGGTCAATTCCCCATCATCATAGCCGATGTAATGCATAGAGGTCTACTAAAAGTTGGAATTTAGGAAAAAAAAATAATTTAACAATCATCAATTTAAAAGATAAAAAGAGGTCAAGGAAATGATCAAGATAAGGCAAGTAAATCCTTAAAGCATAATAAATTCCCAAGAAGATGATTACGAACAAAAAAAAAATTCAAAAAGATAATTGTCTTAGAGAGTGGGGGAGGGGAGAGGAAGACGGGGCACCCTTACAAAATTAGTTGAAAACATTTGCATGAGGTCTCCTAGAAGTTAAAGGAGATCCAACTAGAGTCAACCATTCTTGCAAAAATGCTGTACTGTAAACACTAAATGACCGAGCAAAAGTATTAGATAAACTATTAAACAAGGGGGAAAATGTATCAATACTAATGCTGCATAACTCTAGCAAAGTAAAATCAAGAAATGAAAAACGAATTACAGCTAAAGAAAAGTATGTTGAACAATATGAAAAAGCATATGCAGATATCATATTACACAATTAAGAAATAAATACACAGATAGAACTCTTAAGTACCTCCATGTTGCCAATCAAATGTGCAAGCAGAACAAGTCCAAGAAGGGCTATGAGTGAACAAAATGAAGTCTCCCACACGAAAGTGCTTGAAGTCAACCCCTGGCCAAATGTGCTACAAAGAAGCAACATGTGAACCTATCATGAGTTTGGGGAAGAACAAACATACTTAAGATTCAGAACGTTTAAATATTCATTAAAAAGAAATTTAATACCGTGAGGGAAAAAGAAAAGTGAATAAGAACTCAGATATGGTAGTCAGCCAGCTATACAGGGTACAAAATTAAAGGCTAGTTGTGAAAAAGCTAGCACTTCATACAGTTGATGCTAAATAAATTCTCAGTAATTCGCTTTATTCTGGTTTTCCATTTACAATTCAGAAAAAACTAAAATGGTTTTTAACACCCCCCTTGATGCAAGACATGAAAAAGTAAGGCATCATGTTTCATGAAAGCCTTAACTTTGAACTCAATCAACAAGCCAACCGTTGATCACTCAGATACAAGGATCACAGAACTTCCACCATTTCTTGTTAAATGACTTTGAATTTGATAAAAATGTCAAAATAATCCCCCGACTCTTTGCAGGGAGCCCTTTTAGTCCGAGAGTGTATAAAAGTGTCAATGTAGTCCTCAACCTCCTTTAATATGGGTTGAAATAATCTACCGTGAGAACTATTATAGCCCCCATTAAAACAGTCCAGGGAGTAATTTAGCAGTTTTATATACTCTGAGACTCATATGACCCAATGCAAATAGTTAGGGAACTATTTTGGCCCTTAAAATTTATTTTACATGGTGAGCCAGTATTGGTTCCAGAGTACACAAGTCAGCTGTAGCAACTTAAGCTTTCTAATGGAATGTTGTGCAACAATGCAAGGTGATGATAATCAGCATCAGCCGTTTTCTCCAGTTTTCAAAGGGATTTAAACAGTTGGCCTGTTCATTAGAGGATGAAGACAATGGCAACCAATCACATAGCCAGTGATATCATAATTAACCTCATACTAAGTTCTAACCACTAGATGACAGATTTATAAATACATACTGCTTCTCCATTCACATCAATAATATGAAATCTTGAAAATAAATATGCAGGAATCTTGATTTTTCAACAGCATTGTGAAGCAAATAGTGTGAAAATGAACTCTCATGGCATCATAGAAGCACGTATCATTTGTAGCAGCAGATCATTCAACGGTTAATTTTGAGATGTTCATAGTGTTGTACTGTGTTAAACTAAAAAAGTTTAGAGATAGGCAACTTGCTATGCAAAACAAAAAGATGATGATGCGTCATTTTAAGGCTGAAAAAACCTTCACAAATCATAATAACTTCTAATGGCAGAATTATGATAATTTTGATAAAACAATGTGTTTTACAGTAAAATTAGTGCATGCATAGTTAATCGAACTGCAATTAAATGGTCAGCTGTTTAGTTATAAGGAAGATAATTGACTCAGGATATCCTATATTAATTTTATATATTAATTTATTTCTTTCTTTATATTTGTGATTAATTCAATATTTTTTACTAAGTTTTTAATGCCTTTGGAAGAAGCAAGATAATTGTTTAAGCGGCAATGTTTCGATCATAATAAAACAGATGCTATAAAATAATTATCTTCAATCAAAAATACTGTCAACCGCAGAAATCTTAGTCATTATTTTAAGAAACCTATTTAAAAGTAATATTTTTCTTAACAGAAAAGGAAATATTTACAAGATATGGACCAGTAAGATACTTTCAGCTCGAACTAAATCTATCCATATACAAACACACACACACACACAGAAATCATTACCTTCAATCATAAATACAATCATAAATACTGTCAAGCGCAGAAATCTTAAGTCATTATTTTAAGAAACGTATTTAAAAGTAACATTTTTCTTAACAGAAAAGGAAATATTTACAAGATATGGACCAGTAAGATACTTTCAGCTCGAACTAAATCTATCCATATACAAACACACACACACACACAGAAATCATTACCTTCAATCATAAATACTGTCAAGCGCAGAAATCTTAAGTCATTATTTTAAGAAACGTATTTAAAAGTAATATGATTTCGTTGTGCCGACGACTAAGAGTTTCGCGCCAATCGGTTTCCTTGTACTCGACGCCGAAGGGTTTCTCTCCATCAGCTTTCTCGCGCGTCGTTCCTCTTCCTGACGCATTCGCGCCTTCGATTCGGCCCGACGTCGAAAGGCTTTTGTAGCAGTTGTGCCCGACGACGAAGACCTTTTTCGTTATCATAGTTCTCGCACTGCTATTGACGCATTTCGCCTTCAATTTGGCCCAACGCTCGCAGTCTTCCTTCCTCGGGTCGCACTCGACGATCTTTGTGGCCCTGCCCGACAGAAAGTGAAGTATGCTCACCTTCTTCTAGCAGCTCGCCAACCATTCTGGATATGGCCCCGACGATGCATTCCTATGCCAATGCACATGCCGACGACTTTCCTACTCCTACTTGTGCTCTCTTTCAAGTTTAGAGTCTGGTTTTCATATTAGCAATTCCTGCAATGTTCCTCAATTTTTCCATGACGCTCTTGAAGATGGTGGTGATCACACTTTCATTTAAAAACTTGGCAAAAAAATAAGAAGTTTGCTCTTATTCTCACAGTGGTTGAAACTAGTACTCTCGCGTTCTCTTGGCGTTTTGCTCTAGCGGGGAAATTCCTTTCTGGTCTCCCAAAATTGGAGATCATACGGAAAGAGTTTGATGTTATGAAGCTATTAGACAGTTGAACTATTGCTTACTTGTGTTTTTTTGACAGTCGGCATATACTTATTCAGTTATCTCACGATGCCGATTACACTTGCATTTTTTTTCGTAAAGTCATCAAGATCGACAATTGTTTTATGAAAATTCTGAAGTGGACTATCGATTTTTGAAGTAGACTGTCGATTGTGAGTAGACTGTCGATTGTGATCCAAAAACGGAGTCCCCTATCATTCATGTTTGGATAAAATTATCGGGGTTAAAACTACATCTGTTCAACTTGAAAATTCTCTACTCTTTAGCAACTGCTTACGGTAAGCCTCTCAAGGTTGATACATACGCTTGTTGTCACCAGACCCTCTGTGGCTTGTGTGTTAATTGAAAGAGATATCACTCAACCAGCTCCGGATGAGATATGAATTGACACCACTCACAACGGGTATTGACAAAATTTTGAGATATAACCACACCCTCCTTATTGCTTTTATTGTAGTATGTTCGGCCACAGTTCTATTATTTATTATCGCTTGCATCCTCATCTAAGGTCGAATATCGCTAAAGATCAACCACCTACAATCCCTACCGAGAAGGTGCAACCCGATCCTCATTCCAACACCGCAGTTCCAGATGAAGAACACTATACTACAGATACAGATCCAAATGTGTTTATATCACTCACTGTTATTGAAGAAGACTCGCTTACTTGTCAAGACATGAGAGTGCTCCTTTGATCCGATAAAAGATCAGCTGGTACAACAAGTAGTTGTTTCTAATGTTCAACAGCCTACACATGTCTAACACACTTTAGACCAACCTAATGATCAGGCAAGCCAATCTTCGAATGAGGAATGACAGGTCTATTCCAGGAGAAAAAAGAAAAATGGAGGCCGACTCGAGCTCGAGAATTTATTGGATGATATATTGGTTACTACAGACAATGACACTCACCTTACCAATTTATTAGTTGGCTCCTTCCCTAGAACTAGAGACAGAGATAAGGCAAAATTAGGTCGCTCTTTAGCTACCTGATACTTCGTATTTTGACACTTTTTTGTATTTTCATTAGGCCTCTCATGTTTTTTTTCTGTATTTTCTCTTTTTGGAACCATTTGATGTGGTGGTTATCGTGTGGGCAGGCTGTCATGTCTGAGTCCTCCCGCACAATCTATATGTATCCTACTTTCTATTTATTATATCAACTTTTGGGCTTTCTCAAAATATATATATATCTGTGTGTGTGTGCACGCGCGCGCCGCCAACCGTGATTTGTTGGTAGAGCAACCTCTTTGAAGTTCGTAAGTCCCCTCAAGTCACGGGTTTGAATCCTCCTCTGGTCAGTTTACCGTTAGTGAGGGCAGTTCTTGAGTAGTTAGGCACATGAGGGTGGTTGGGGGCTCGTATAATTTCCTTCAGTCATTCTTTTAATATATCCTCAGGTCAGGGTTCGATCCCCCGTGATACAAGATTCTCGAATAGTGACACATAACACGGGCTTCTCATCATAGAGCCTAGCGCGTGGGAAATCAGCATTTGAGCCTCTGATATTTGGTCTAGTGGGCACCAAATACTGATTCTCCCAAAGGGTTGAAAACCCTGATA